CCCTTACACACACACACACACACACACACACAGACTTAATTGTAATTACAATATGCATATTTTAAGTTTTATATTTTCAGGTATACAAATAATAAATGACTACAGCCTCATAAAAAGAACAACTCACCCACTGTTTTATAACTTACTTTTGCCATTTCAAAACATGGTTGTGTGTCCTTACCATTTTCCCATGTAATTCAACATTCTGCTGAAATATGCTTTTCAATACCTGAACGGTGTTCCATTGTCCAGTGTATCTTTACACACTTAACCAATCTTTACCCAATCCACTTTATTAGATAGTGAAATTGTTTCCAACTGAACTGGAATGGACAGCCCTCCCCCCACCACCAGATTTTTTGTTTGTTTGTTTGTTTGTTTGGAATAAAGTTGTAGAGGTAGAATGATTGAGTTAAAGAATACAAACACTTTTGATGAAAGATGTTACAAATTGCCTAACTAGCCTCAGAGAAGTCATAGCATTTTTCAGGTCTACCAGGAGTTTGTGACGCTGCCCATTTCCACATACTTTCTCTAAGTTTACAATTTATAATTTTAAAATTACACATTTTAAAATACTTTATCTTAAAATATCTTTGTTTAACTGGTAAACAAATACTGGTTTAAGTTTTCATTTCCTTGAGTACCTGTGAGATTGAAAATTTGTTCATGTTTCAAATACATATCGGCCATTTGTATTTATTACTTCACACGGTATCTTCAGATGAGGAAATGAAGTTCAGAGAGGTCAAACGAATCGCTCAAGGACAAGCTTCTACGAAGTAGATACCTATATATATAGTATACATATATATATTCTAAAATGAAATAGAATTGTTCTTCAGTTTGTCAAAGCAAGCAATAATGCCTGTGGGCAAAGTTCTGTTGAATTCAGAGTTCAAGGACATCTAAATAATATATAAGTCTCTTCAGGCCAAATCATCTTTATAAAATATTGCTTGGAGAATTATTGTGAAGATTTAATGAATTATAGTTCTTTTACCTTTTAAATTATAATTGGGAGATGAATTAAATAAGGAAGAGATTGCTAAAAAGAGTGAATATGCTGACAGCATCCTTCTTACCATCCATCGGTCACACAGCTGTAGATGCTTGAAGGAGACTCTGGTACCCCATGACCTCCTTCTCCCCATTAGCACAGCATGAGGACAAAGCAACCAACTGCATATGTTTTATGATGGTAGAATGCAACCAGCATACTATTTCTGGAGGTGATCAGAAGCTGATGTCTTAGTTTTTGTCTCTGAATGCCTTTCATTTCTGTCCCAAGTAATATATAAGCCCACGCTGTCACCTGATGATGTAACCTTGATGGCAAAGTCAAAGTCTCTTTTCTTTAATAACAAGAGTGTCCATGAGTCAATAATTGAGGAAGAAAAAAAAGAAACAATAACAGTAAAAGAAATACCAGAGTTGCTTAAATTTAAAAAAAAAGAAGCACACTGGCAAAACGTAATATATTAAGAAATGGCTAAAGGTATCAGCAGGGTGAAGGAGTTTGAGGGGTCTGGAAAAAAGGAGATGTTAACACCTACTGGAAGGAGGCAAACCCTAACAATTCTTTCTACTTGGCTTTAAGTTCTTACCCTGGGAGGGTGAAGTTTTTGTTCCAAGAGCTAGTGGTCAAGTTCCCCTCAGGGAGAGCTTACAAGGGAAATGCCACTTAACTTTAGTTCAATTTGAGATCATTTGCATCCATGACTATCACAGGCGATGAAAATTAAAAAAATAAAACTGAGGTCCTAGGTCTCCCATCTCCCCCCGCAAAGTGATGCTTCCTCTACCCATAAGCAATGCTTATCTCAGGCAAAGAAATCATAGAATTAGGTGCCAGTGTAGCAATGGAGAGTGAATTCAAGAGTTCAGCCCCCGCCCCATAAAATGTAGGCAGCTTCCACGTGAGCACAGCACTTCAAGACCCCCTAATGTCTCCCGGATTCAGACAGATGGACTCCCGAAGATCTTACATAAAGTAACTTAAGTAATTTCCCCGTAACAATTCTGTATTTGTTCCTCGTACAAGAGGCGCTGGTTTCATGCACAGAGTTGGTGCATTCACCTTGAGCCAGACCACCTAGCTCACCTTGATGGTCCTCTTACCAACCGAGGGAACTGAAGGAAGTTACTTACCTTCTATGTGCCCCAGATTCTTCAGCTGTAAGAGGAAGATGATGATGACACACAGTATCTCACCTGATTCTTCCAAGAGTCCCATGAGGTATAACAACAGTCCCTACCGCATTCAGTCGTTGGGAGGATCAAAGGAGGTAATGTGTGCAAAGTGGTTAGAAAGCTGCCTGGCACATGGCAAGGGCATTATGTCTGCTTATTAATTATTTTTTATTGCCAGCTAAAGTGGAACTGCCATAGAGCAATAGCCTAAATGCAGTTTATCATTCCCTTGGCCCGCCTGCTTTGAACTTTTGAGATTCTTGACTCATATAATTTAGGAGATTTTTATTATTTCAAAATTAGTGTATACATGGTGGCTTTATTCATCTTTTTATATTGCACTATTTTAAAATTGCATGATTTAAATAAGCATAAAGCAAGTACGTACTCTATGAGCGTTAGGTGTGAAAATGCGGTAGATTTAGATAATGGCAACTTTAAAGGGTAATTACTCTTGATAAATATGCAAGGGTTCCTGTGGGTCTGAGTAGTTCAGGGTACGTTCCTGACAGGCAGGCCACCACAGGAGAGAGGGACTAAAAGATGCCTGCTCATGTTAACTCCAAGTAAAACTAGCGAGAGTGCTTGCTGTGTACCAGGCACTGTCTTTTAAAAACACTGTATTCGACTCTTACAACATCCCTGTGAGATAAACAGTATTAATGCCTCCATTTTACAGACGTAGAAACTGAGACACACACACAAAAACACTTAAGTAACTTGCCCAAAGTTACCCAGCCGGTAAGGGGTGGTACTGGGATTTAAACCTAAATATCCTACCCACAAAACCCAGGTGTAGTTATTCTATGATACCCCAAAAAGTCGTGATGTACAAAGTTCTCCTTAGTTCTTCCACTTTTTTCTCTCTTTAGGGCCTGTTTCTCTCTTAAATACAGCCCTACCCACAACTGTAATGGGCATGAGTATGCTTACGGGAAACAGTTGGGAAATACAGAAAGAAAGCAGAAAGATTCGAACATGCTATTGTATCACCCAGAGACAACCGTGGTTAAAAATTTGGTGTATTTCCTCCTAGACTTTTTTTTCTAAGTATATGATTTTGTTTTCTGTTTGCTTTACATAGTTGTGACCAAACTGTATACACAATTTAATCTTCCTTTCCCCCCCATAATTTCATAACATATGCTATCTCGTGCAATTAAAAATTTTATAAACTTCCTTTCTACAAGCTGCATAATGAACTACTGCGTGACAGTTTCATAATATATTTGCCATCCCTCTGATGTTGGACACCTGAGTATTTCCAGCTTTTTGTGTGGGGGGGGGATGGCTATCTCTATCTCCTCTTTCTTGATAGTTTCCCTCCTGACATTTCCTCAGATCCTGCTCAGGCACAGAGTGACCTTGATACCCCTCTATCCTTCCTTCTCTCAAAATTTAGTTTCTGGAAAGGAGCTGACAAAGTCATTCATACTAAAGTGTACGTGGTTCATAAAGCTGAATTGTAATCTCTTAAGAAGGCGTGCATCAAAATTTCAGCCAAAGGAATGAAGCTCTAACTGTGGGGTTTTAGTCATCAGATCATCCAGTTGGGGAGCTCCCCCACCCTCCCCATTCACACAGTAGCCTCCACAATAGCAAAAAGAGGTGCAGAGCTTACCTAATGTTAGGAAAGCTGACATAAAGCCCGCCTAGAGCTGCGGAGGTGGTGATGTGGGAAAGGAAAGGAAAGAGTTTGTCTAAGTGACGGTGAAATAATGGGGTAGAAGAATGGAAGTGAACTCGAAAAGTCACTTAGCCTCGCGGAATATATTTGGCACCACTTACCTGATTTCTCCAACTCCCCGGTTTGCCTTTCCAGTGCATTTGGCCTTAGGGATGGGCCCTCCCACCCTCACCCAGCACTGCTCGGCCGGGCGCTCAGACCTCATTACTCTGCCAAGTCTCCCAGTTCGGGGGCCTTTGGCGGCCACAGAGCCAGTCAAGTTTCTAAGAGGGCCCATTGCAAGCCCTGTGTCCACAGACCATCCTATTGGTGCCTCACCTCCTGCTACTTCGAGAGAAGAGTTAATAATACGGGCGGGGGTGGGGGGGGATTAGAGGTGAGAGCTCACAAAGTCCTGTTCTGCTCCCCCCACCTCAGCACTTTCTCTTCCCCTCCCGCTAGGGGCTTCAAGCTTTCTAGACGGCTGGCAAAGCCGAGGCTACTGCGGGGAGCAAAGGGCACCCACGACAGAGCTGTTTCCCTCACCTCTCCCCACTGGCAAGGGCTTCGCGGTGCCCAGGGGCTGGCGTGCAGAAAGCGGAGGGGAGGGGGTGTGCAGGGAGCGGTCCAAGCCATAGTGGCTCCGCCCACCTGGGCTAGGCGAGGAAAACCCAAATCCGAAAAGCTGGGCTGGCAGGACAGGGGGGCGGGAAAAAAAAAAAAAAGCAGAGACTCCAGGTGAAGGCTGGGCGGGCGCGGGGCTGCGGGCTCCCCGGCACCCCGCGCGCACGGCGCACGCCCCCACCCCCCCGCGCGGCCGTCCGCCCCTCCCTCCTTCCTTGCTGGTTGGCCCGGGCGCCGCAGAGCGCGGCGGCGGCGGCAGGAGGAGCCGCGCGCGCCGAGCGCGCACTGCCGGCGAGGTTGCCCGGGCTGCAGGCGCGACGCGCGGTCTCAGGTGGCGGCGGCGGCGGTGACAGCGACAGCGGCGGCCGCAGCAACCGGCGCGCACCCTCTCCCCCGCGCGCCCGCCTCCCGCCCCCACTGCGCCGCGGAGCCTCCACCGGTCCCCGCGCGCACTGCCGAGCTCCGCGCACAATAGCAGCGGCCGCGGCGGCGGCGGCTCCCGGCCCCGGCGCCCGCCATGGGGAAGCCGGCGAGGAAGGGATGCGACTGCAGGCGCTTCCTGAAGAACAACTGGCTGCTACTGTCCACCGTGGCCGCCGTGGTGCTAGGTGAGCGGCGTGGCGGGTGGGCGACGCGCGCGCCCTCACGCGCTCCCGGCTCCCAGGCCGCGTGCGGGGCCGGCGGGTGCGAGGGTGGGCGAGGCGCCGCGGGTGCACCTCGGCGCCCCCGTCGGCCTCGGAGCCACGCGGGGGCTTCTCCGCGAGGGTGCCGATGTCTGCGTGCGAAGAACAAAGCTCCTCGGGGACTCCCATTTGGGTGCTCCACGAGCTGCGGGCTCCTGCTTTACCCAAAATGATCAGAGGGGCTTGGAAGGGGAAAGGGAAGCTCTAGGTCCTTCCCGTTGGGAGGCAAACATGGTTTATTATTAGGTTTTCAGTCCTGTGTGCTCCCCCCATTTTTTCCGGAACCGTGCTGCCGGGACAGGGATCGAGTGCGGATCACGGTCCTCGGTCGGACTGGAAGAGGCACCTTAGCCTCAGGGATGGCGCCCCCCCGCCCCCAGGGAAGGGAGATAGAGGGTGTTGCCACTCACCCTGGGCCGAATTCTTGCCCAAACTCAGGGCTGTGCAGTTTTGGCCTGCAGGAGGTCACTGGGGGAAAGAGAGCTAAGAGAACTCACGTTTCTTCCTTTCCCACCCCGGTAATCTGCCAAAATAGCCTCCTTGAGCTACCTTGCTCTCCACATTGTTTTTCTGAAAATAATTTTTAAGTCCTATTTGCGTGTTTTTAAACAAGGGTGTATTTAAATGATTCATTCCTGACAGATTACTGTACTAAGCAGATGTCTGAGCCATTGCTCAGAGGTATGGAGTTGTTCCTATTTAGATTATGAATTTCTGCCAATTTGCCTGTCTTAAAAGTTAGGCTCTGGGATGCACCCCTTTGGGGCTGGAGTCTCTCTCCTTTCCTCTATGAGCTCACACAGGTGGAGCTACCCAGCAGGTGAGATTCCTTTGAAGTCCCCACCTTGCTTTGGAAACACGATCTGGGTTTGCTGAAAAGGGGTGGGGTGGCAGCCTCCCGACCTCATGCGCCTTCTCCAGGGATGCTTCTGACTCTCAGAATATTTGGCATTGCCTACTCCCACACCTGATGCCCTACCCCACAAAAGCCTATGGAAGTTAACGGAATCCTCAGAGTCAGATTTGCTCCTCCAGAACCTGTGCAAAATAAAGTCAGGCTTCTAGTGAAGAAATAACATCTTGGAATTGCTTTTACAGAGGCCGTTTGTGGGAGGAAAGGAGAAAAGTAGAGAAGCAAGTCTTTCTTATCTGCTTAACTCTATTTCCCCCAAGGGCCAAGTGGCTTAGGTGTCTTTAGGGAAGGTTTATCCTGCCCCCGCTACATTTAAATAATATACCTCAGAGAGAGTGAATTGATTTCCCTGCGTCCAAACAGATGAGATGGCCTTGTTTGTTTTCCCTAGTGGTAAAAGTCCAGAATTAATTGTTAGGCCCTTCTTAAGGATGGTTACTGGGTAACTCAGGGCCAACATTTCCCTCCCAATTCCTGGTGAAAGTGAAATAATGCTGCCTTTTTGGCCTTAGAGTTCTCCAAAGATACTCACCTATTAACCAAGTGTTGCATACCACACTTCAATGTACCCATTCACTGGAGGCTGGTTTGGAAAGGATTTTGAGCAGTTGTTCCCTGGCCTTTGGAACCTGTTGAAAAATACAGCTTCAGGGTCAAGAGGAATTACATGCCCATTTTGCAGATCTGGCCTTTGGCAGCAGGGCACTTTCCAACAGTTTTTAATCTGGGTGAAGCACAGGAGCTTGATTCAGACACTCTTCTCAAGAAAGAGAAACCACCATATAAAAATGTCAAGTGCCCCCACTGAAGTCTTTCTGGACATTTGCTCCTCCAGGAGCAACACGGGGCTATCCTAAGGGTTTCCGCTCCTGGTCCGAAAAGTGTCAAGCCTGAGCCATCCCCAGTGTGCCCATCACAGGCACCTCCCGAGGTCTTCCTTTTTTCTTTTCTTTCTCCAGAGCACTGTGTGTGAGTGGAAAGCATACCTCTGTGTTGTCTGCACGAGCTCAGTTGTTGAACCAGAATGAAATTCCAGCTAACTTACAACAGTGAGGCTGAGTCCATATCTAAACTGATAGAGAGTTTATTTTAAAAGTCTTAATTGATACAGGAAATCACAAGCTCTCTCGTGCAGCCTCCTTTCTGGACCTTTTTTAAGAAGAAGAAATTTATTAACTACCCTGACAGAATGTCATCTTCTGATTATAGCCATCAAAATGTTTGGTCCTGGCTCTAATTCAGCAGCCCTGACACTTTGAAATATTTTGATTTTTGAAGTGAGGGGCAAAGGTTTTTATGAGCCAGCTTGAAGCCTCTGATTTTTTCAAGACCTAGGATGTGAGGGGAAATGCAGTTAAAGAGCATTTTTTTTATAACGAAGATACGGGAAGGATTAACCATTTTGTTTTGTGTCCCATAGCCTGCTTCTCAATTCGTTTAACAGGCAGAAATTCTAAGAGTAGAATTTTTGTGCTCCAACTGAGAATTCTGTCCAACAGAATCACTGTGTGTAAAAATTCTGTGTCACAGCATTCCGATTCAAGTGACCCACTAATGATCATTTCACGTACAGATCTTCCTCAACTTAGGATGGGGTTATGTCCCAATAAGCCCATAGTAAGTTGAAAATATCAAATATCATAATTCAAAAAATACATTTAATACACCTGACCTGCTGAACACCATGGCTTAGCCTAGTCTGCCTTAAATGTGCTCGGAGCATTTACATTAGCTTACGGTTGGGCAAAATCATCTCACACAAAGCCTATTTTTTAAAGAAGTGTTGAATATCTCACGTAATTTGCTGAACGCTGTAGAGAAAGTGAAGAACGGTGGTTGTGGGGTGCAGAATGGTTGCGAGTGTGTTGGTTGTTTACCCTCGCAGTCACGTGGCTGCCATGCCCAGCGTCACAAGAGAGGATCGTACCCCATCTCGCTGGCCCAGAAAAAGATCAAAATTCAAAAATTTGAAGTCCGGTTTCTATGCACACGTATCGCTTTCACACCGTTGTGGAGTTGAAAAATCATGCCGGGGACTGTGTGGATCGTGTTGGTGAAGCATTCGTGGAACCCTCACCCCATTCACAACATAGAGCTGGAGCTTTCTGTCCAGGACCTGCTTTATTTCAGCCATTTGAAAAACCTGATTTCCACCTTGCAGATTTTCAGGAAAGGAAGTAGATGTTATAAGCTTATTCATTCTGAATAATTTTCTTCAGCACGCTAAGAAAGCAATCCTTTATAGATTCCGATTCCGCTGTTTGACCTGGAGAACAATTCTTTCACGTAATCAGTAATACCCTTGCCCCAGCTTCATGTCTCCTACCCTGGAGGCTCTCCCAGCATATATTTGGCAGTGCTCCATGGAGTCGTGGTATATGCTTGCTTCCTCTGTTTCTCTGTGTCTGTGAAGCCTCTGATGACAGGGGCTGGCTGCAGCCGGCTCAGGGTGCAGCTCACCTGCGCAAAGCCTTGTGTGTGACAACATTCCAGAATGTATATCATTACTGATAAAGCTTGTTTGGTCTGGTGACTCCCATGCCTGGTACTGATGGGCCTCTAATCAGATCAGTCTTGGAATATACCTGCAGCGACCAACACTTAAATCATTTGTTCATTCAGTAGAGACTGTTGTGGAGCCTGGGCGCACAGCAGTGAACAAATCAAAACCCCTTTCCTCATGAAACTCTCGTTCAAGCGCCGAGAGGTAAACCGTAAACAGAATAAATGGGTAGGCTGCAATACAGAGTGTGTCCGATGGTGAGGGTGCTCAAGAGTAACACAGAGCAGGGAGGGGGCTGGGAGGGGCTTGCACTTTTTTAAATAAGGGCAATAGGGACAGTCCTGCTGAGAAGGTGACCACTGAATGAAGACTAGAAAGAGGTGGAGGAACAGGTGCACAGATATCTAGGGAGCATCCTGGCTTGTTTGAGAAAGAACAAGGGGTGCAGGGAGGGAGTGGGGGGAGGCAGGAGGCCAGGAGGGGACAGAGCAGTGGAAGAGCGTGGGCTCCTTTAAGGACTTTGACTTTTACTGGGAGATGGGAAACCACTGTAAGGTTCTGAGTAGAGCAGCATGGTCTGGTTGTATTTTAATCAGCTCCCCTGGCCGCTGTTTTGACCACGGACTGGCGGAGGCAGGGGGAGGAAGCAGAGCCAGGTTGAGGAGGCTATGGTGCGCGTAACCTGCGATGCATCTGACTTCTTAAACTCTAATCTCATTTGCATCATGCCTAGTGAAGTATTAGGAAATGCTTAAGAAAAAAGGCAATGAAAATGTTTTGCAGCTATGTAGTAGGTGTTGCCTATATCTATATATATAATTATATAATTTTATATATAAGTGCCCACCTAGGGATGCGGGAACTGAGACTCAATGTCACGGTCACTCAGATGAAAACTGGTCCCCCTGTTCCTTTCCTTCCTCTCCTTTGGGCGGCTTCTCTCTGTCTTACTCCCCAGCTCCCTGTCATACTTGGTCCTCGCCGACCCTCCTAGGAATCACAGTGCCGTACTGGGGTGGTGTCCTTTGGTCTGTATTGTTCTTTTCTCCCCTGAGACTGGAAAGGGGCAGAAACATGCCTCCAGGACTCTGCGAATCCCCGTGTGGGCCTTTGGAGGAATCCTGCTCCAGTGAGACTTGGCAGACTCATCGGCCAGGCTGGCCTCCACTCTGGGCTCAGCCCCACCCTTATGCCTCTGTTCATGAGGCTGCCCAGCTCTTCCCTCCACCTTCAAAGTCTGCCTTTCCTACCTTCTAACAGAGGGGCTTGGCATGACTGCGGCGGAGGGTATGCTTGAGGGATATGGAAAAACAAAATGAGCAAGGCTGCTAAAGAGGCCGAGGCAGCTCTCGGAGGGCCTGGAATGCCATGCTGACGAGTTCGGACAAGGTCTGAGGGTTAGGTTGGCAAGGACACAGAGCTGTGCTTGGAAAAGATCACTGAAGCAGGTGCATGTGGTGAATGGATCCTGGGAGGGCGGTCTTGCAGGTAGGCAGACAGGGAGAGCTA